TATAATGACTATTTTAGAGAAAAATTAATAAATAAAAGACCATTTGGGAAATTTTATCTATTATTAATTTCTTAAACGTTGTAGAGGATATTTAAATTCTCTAAAAGGATACTTAAAAGAAAATTAGAAGAGAAATTAAATATCCTCCTACTTTTTGTTCTTACATATCCTTCTACCCAATGAAATGGTGACATACGTAACATTTAATGCTTATTTAATGAGATTTAGTGATATTTTAGGATACTCATATGACATATGACATCATTTAAATGGGTAGGAGGATTGATAGGGTTAAAATGGCAGGAGGATATTTAATTTCTCAAATTAGAATATACAAGTAGGGTATTTGAAGCAATTTGTTTATTTAACAGAGTGACGCGCCTAAATCAATGGAGATCACATGCGAATCACACCTCTACGCCCTGATCTCCCTCTCTATTCCACCGCCCTATTTCAGGCACCAACTACTCCCAACCCTCGCCGCCGTTTCTTCAACTGCCGGCGATAATGACGACGTACGGCACGATTCCGACGTCATCTAGCGGAGGTACGAATCTCGAATTCCTAACTCGCGCAAGAGACCGCATACAAACAGGACTAGGCACCCGACGGCCATGGAAGGAGATGTTCAACCTCGCTTCGATCAACTTTCCTCAAAGCGTCTCCGACGCGTTTTCTCGAATTAAAACGAACATTGGATACTTCCGCATGAACTACGCGATTGTTGTGCTCATTATTTTGTTCCTGAGCTTGTTATGGAATCCGACCTCGTTGATCGTATTCACGGTGTTGATGGCGGCGTGGTTGTTCCTCTACTTCCTCCGCGACGAACCTCTAACGATTTGTCACAGTGTGATCGATGATCGTGTGGTGCTTGGGGTTCTATCTGTTGTTACGATTGTTTTGCTGCTCTTGACTAACGCCACGATGAACATACTGTTGTCGATTTTGGGTGGACTTGTACTTGTTGTGATTCACGCTGTTTTGAGGAAGACGGATGACTTGTTTTTGGACGAAGATGGCCTCGAAGCAGGGGGCTATCTGGTTGCTTCTTCACCGTAGAGAAGGTATTTTCTCAGTATCAACTGCAGCTCTGTGTTTGTTAATTTCCTGTTATACTGGTAAGTTGTGTTCATTATTGAGTGAGAAACGTGATTCGTGATAGGAAGAGCTGCTGATTATTATTTTTTTTCAACCGAAATTACTTCTGTATCTACTTGAGATTCTGTTTGTGCACGAAAGGGAAATTCCAATTTGATCCAACAAAGTTGTTTGTAGATGTATGTTTTATATTCAAATCAAACATTCTTTTAATAAGTTTGTAATTCCTTCGGTTAGTTTAATCTAGCACGTCATAGAACTCAAAAAAAAAAAAAAATAATAATAATAATAATAATAATAAATCAACAGTTTCGAATTGATAAGCAATAAATCAACAGTTTCGAATTGATAAGCGATTATCTTATGATTAAAAACTTCTAACAAAATCAAGAGGTTTGATTGGTTGAATTGATAAGCAATTATCTTCTGATGGGCGATTATCTTAATTTGGTAGTGTTTGTTATCATTGAAAAAAAAAATCTTTTTTCACCGCCTGCTGTCAGTCACAGTCAGTCAGACAATATGTGCAAAAGATTGTTTTTTATTTTTACCGGAAGATGTAAAAGTAAATTCTTGAGTTGGAATACCTCCTCTTCTAATCCTCCCCCTCCGCTAGGTTCTCTCCCCTCTAAGCGGGACAAGTAATGTATTTTTTGAAAATACGAAATATATTTAAACCCTAGCAAGATCATATGTCTATGTTATGAGCATTTGGATCGGAACCATGGCCTGTTTGAGAGGATTCTATGGACCGTGGACCGGACATATTGAGTCTATTGGAGTTGGTTTTCCGGTTCTTTGGATCGGTATAACATTCGTTGCCTATGATACAAGTCGTTGATATAGTAACAAAAGTTAATATTTTGATACTAAAGTTATATTTGTAGGGATGAATAGTATTAAGAGTCTTAAAACCAATACATAAAATATGAATTATGATTGATCGAAATGTAGAAAAGGATAAAACATAAAAGCTAAACAACTTTCAACTTTGATATCCGGTTTTAGGGATTGTAACTTATTGAAATAGAAACTTTAAACTATATAATGGGAAAAAATGTTATCAAACAAATAAGATATTCAATTTTTAAAATTTTCATAGGAAAAAGCTTAATTGGATAATGACTCCTAAACTTCGAGTCCAAACCAATACATACCTGGCTTTAAATACAAATTAAAAAAAATCTTTACTTGTGATTAGTTAGTTGATAGTTGCAAAATGTTAATATTAAATTACTTATTTCATGCAATTAAGTTTTTTTT